GGAAAGACTGTTGGTAAAGCTCAGTAATAAATTTCTAAGCTAAATTGTTTCACTCTGTCCCCAAAAGGAAAAACAATGTCATTTCAGTGTAATTGCATGTGATGATTACACAGTATAAGAACACAGGCTGGTCATAATCTTCTGATAACGTATTGTAAATGGCAGTAAATACTGGACACTTGTAGATTTAAAAGGTGTCTTCAGTGTGTTAATAACATTTTTCACATCTTAAGATTGCAATTATTATATTAGTAATTCCAAATTCACAACAAAAGAGTTGGTGCCAAGCTCTTTGGGCCACCTGTCTAAATAGGATCAGGTCTTCCACAGCATGACCTGTTTGGGGCTTGCTTTATTATTCCTTTTCATCTGGCATCTTTCTCTTAAAACCCTATATGATGCTAGGATGGTATTTTAGTCATGATGAATCACTAGGTACATTAGATCCCTTGTGTAATCTTGAAGCAAGGACAGATTTTTCTCTCTTAGGCAGAGTCTGTGACTTGCTGCTTTCCTGCTCCTGTTGCTGAGATTTTGATGGTCCCCACCAACCTGTTGAGGTCACAGACTGCATGTGACCAGATGAATATGCACACCTCTTTGCACCTTATCAGACCATATTTACAGAAGAGGTGTTAGTATCTGCATGAGTTTAATGAGATCTTTTATTTCACTCATATTGTGCAATGTTAAAAGAAAGACTTAATGAAAAAGGCAGAGGAAAAAAATGGGAATAGAAAACTCCCCCTGCAGTCAAAATTTTGAACGCTAAGTTTTCTCAGACAAAATTCTCAATGGTTTTAAAGTGTTAGCAAAAGCCTCAATAGGAAAGGAGAAATACTTGCCTGCATAAGAATTTTATGGTGAGATAGTCCACAATTGTATTTCAGAGCATTTGAGAACTTTGCTAGCTCCTGCTTGCCCAGAATACGGGGCTCTGAGTAACGGGATCAATGTAGAATGAACTTCCACCTTCTTGTGCAGGCAGGCAAAGGAGATTGTGCTAAAGTATGAAGGAAGGCTCACCCGAACAAGAGGTTATCAAGCTGCTGGTGCAGAGGTATGGCTGCCTTTTCTTAAATTACAGCTTCTTTCTATGCCAGTTGCTATTTGCAGCTTTTGTTCACACAAGCTATGTTTGCTGTGCAGTCCTGATCTCCAACCAAGAAACTCTGTAGAGGGAGGGAAAAGCAGTTAAAAGCTGCTTTTTTTTTTTTTTTTTAACACTATTCTGAATTTAGTAATTACATTTTTGCAGACCGATTTGATGTGTTGAGGGATGGATGTCATTCTACTAATGCAGTATAAGCTTTCTTCTCAAATAATGTACAAATATCAAGGCCTGCTAGAGGGGCTGAATGGGATACCAACAACTCGATGCCAGTATTCTCTGAAGAGCTATTTCACCAGGCTCTGGGGCCACAGTTCAATAGTTTAGTATTGAAAAATGAGTCTAGCTTTTAATTTGGCAGACAATCCTACAATAAGTTATGGCAAATACATTGTTAAAGAAGATTTTTGCTTGCATAATACTAGAATTTGAATCTAATATTAGCAAATCTACTTACACCACGGAAAATAGACCCTAGCTCTAATTTCTGGAAATTAATAATGTGTAGGAAATTGTCCCTAATTAGGGAACAACCCAACAGAGATGCAACAAACAGAGATGAGTTCTTTAGTCATCTAGGCAGTCAAGAATATTTTTGTCAACATAATAACCTAAAGCAAAAAGGCAAGATTGTAACAGTAAAATAGAACACCACTCATTTTATGTATATGAGCAAGTAAAAGACCGTGTATCTGCTGCTCTGTTATGCTGGCCCACAGCGAAGTTAAAAGCTTTACTTTCCAAGGTAGGAAAGTCACTTTTCCTTGTTCTGCCTTTCCGTGTGTGGCAAATGCCGTGGGAAGTAACACGTGCTATTAAAATACTGATTTTTGCCTTTGACTTGACCGGGACTTGGAGGCCACCTAGAAAGGGAAGTGCTGAGGGTTTGTAAACGTCAGTAAATCAGAGACTAGGACTGTTATTTGTTCATATTCCCCTTCCTGTAAAAAAATTGGAGGCTTTCACCTTAGAGTTCATGATGAATAAAAGTTTGTATCTAATTTAATTGCCTTTATTGTGTGTATTCTCTTGAAGATATTCAGCACAGTGATATAATCCATCAGTCAGTTAGCAACACTCATTATCTGTAG